TGCTATTACCCTGCACCCCCACCCTAGAGAGATCTCAACCTGCAGCTACCCAGGGCTCCCCTTCAGGTCCAGCTTCTGATGAGTACTGCTCCCCAGGAAACAGCTGCCTTTTCTGGGAACTGCCACAGGTTCCCCTGCAGGAAGACAGGCCCAGGGGCACTCACACTGCAGCTGCTGTAGCATCCTCAGAACCCAAAACAGGCATGCAGCTGGCAAAGGCAGAGTGGCATCTGCCCAGTGGTGCAACTCTCTTGGGATAGAGGTTTTAAACCAGTTAGCCTCTGAAGCCCACTTATAAACAAAAGCCCAAGACATCTTCTGGATTGTAAAGCCTTAGGTAGAGTTACTACCAACTGAAGCAGATAAGGGTCTGAGTACTGAGCCTTCCCCACACTGCAAGCACCAGAACCTCTCAACACAGCACTATGGCTGCCATTCTAGAGTAGTCTCAGAACTATGGTCTGAGGTCCCTTCCCCCTTTAAGACTCTAGTAGGCCAACCCCAGGCAACCAGCTGTCCCAGAATTCAGCCGATAAGGTTTCCCTCACAGTCAGACTACATCCCTTCGGCAATTCTTCTCAAAACCTTTTTCCAGTACCAGGTATCAAACTCAGGACCTTGTGCTTGTCAGGAGGGTACAGCGCCACCGAGCTGCAATCCCAGCCCTTGAAACCTCTTTCTTGAATTCTGCAGAGAAAGGGCCAAGTCTGACCTCCAGGGCCTACCTGTCCCCAGCCAATCAGCCACCATCAAACAATGCCCAGTCTCCCTAAACTTGGAAAATGCTCAAGACATTTTATAAGGACCCTCCCATAAGAACTCCTGGAAATCAGAGATCCAGGGAAATTAATTTATGGAGATTTTGGACCTTGCTGGAAGGGGAGCCAAATTTAGGGGGAAGGGAGCAGTCAGTCTAACACTCTCAATGTTCCCCAGTAACTGCTACAGATAGTCACAAGCCAAGTCCCGCTCCATTAACCTTTCATGCACAAACCCACAAGTGGGATTCCCAGTTCCATTATTTAATCCTTGTCCACTCCATGTGCTCAAAGCCTTTCTGGACATTCATTAAAACTGGTTCTAGGCAGGGGATTTAGCTCAGTGGTTCAGTGGCCTGCCTCGCAAGCTCAAGGACCCGAGTTTGATCCCCAGTACCACACACACACACACACAAAACCCAAAAAAACCAAAAACTGGTTCTAAGCCAGGGGGCACTCACCTGTAATCCTAGCACTCTAGGAGGCTGAGAGATAGGAAGATCAAAAGTTTGAGCCTACCTGGGCAATTTAGCAAGACTGTCTCAAAATTTTAAAAAAAATTTTAAAGGTCCAACAATGTAATGTACCTCATTGTGAAGGCCTTGGGTTCAATGCCCAGTACTGGGCGGGGGGGATTGTTTCTAACCTAAGGTGAAATTTGGGGCCTTTTCCCATTGCTCTGGGCTCATATCTTGGCCCTATCTCTCTTCTGCAAGCTTGTAACAAGCCCAGTTTCTTCTTGCAGCTGCAGAAGATACCCTGAGCCTTGGATCCCTTCTTGGATGCCAGTGGAGCAGCCTCAGCAAGCCAGGGCATCTTCCACATTCAGTGATGGTCACGCAGTACCCAGGGATCCCTCACATGCTGTCCCAGCCTGAAGAGTTCTTTAGCAGTTTATGTGGAAAAAGGCAGAGATCCTGCTCCTACAGCTCAGTTTTCCAGGCTGCCAAGCAGAGGAAGGCTGGTCAGCCAGAGCTGTCATGCACAAACCTGGGATCTAGGGCCAGGGATTTAGCTCAGTGGTTCCGCCGCCTGCCTCACAAGCACAAGGACCCAAATTCAATCTCCAATACCAAAAAAAAAAAAAGCTGGTATCTATACATCCCTTCTAGAATCCTTAGAGGGGTCTGACAAATGCATCTCTTTGGGCTCTTGCAGTGACCCCCAGGTCCCTCACTGTCTCGGGAGACCAATCATGCCCCAGGCTCAGGCACATCTACAACTGGCAGGATAGCAGCTGCTCTCCACCTTCCTCACCCAAAGTTCTGAGACCTATTCACCCAACCTCTCACCTCAGCCTCTGGGGAGGGAGGTGAGCCTGCCAAGCCCTTCCTCCCCTTCTGGCAGCAGGGCTCCTGGCCTCTCTCACCCCACAAAACAGAATGCTGAAGACTGCTGTTATTCCATCTGAAGAACCTTCAAAGCAATCCCAGAGCCAGAAAGAAAAGTGTGTGTGTGCGTGCGCGTGTGTGTGTACACATGCATCATGCTCACAGTTAAAAGCAGCCAGCTGTCAGGGCTGAGAGTCAGAAGCACCCAGTCTCATTAGTGGCTGCTTTTCTTTGACTACAGGGCCACAAGGAAGGAGGAGGGTGGGAGGCAACTTTTCTACCCTGTTTTCACTAACTCCTGGGCTGAAGAGGCAGAGTGCCATCCTGTCCACTTCACACTGACTAGCACACAGAGCCAACTCCTTCTTTATCTCCCTAGGAACCAAGGTCTCTCTAAACCAGGAACAGACCCCTGCCCCTTGCCACAGAAATAAGGTGAGAACTTTAGGTCGTGCCTATTCTGTGTGCAGCCTGTTTTCTCTCCCACAGTGCGTGGCCACACTCACACAAGCATTCCACCCAGACATCTCTGGGAGAAGCCCCTTGCTTTCCTCCTATACCATGGCTTCCTAATTCCAGCCCCACCCCAAAAGAAAGGAGCCCAGAATACAGCTGATGGGCTTCCGTGGGAGGGGGAGGAAGGAGAAAGAGCTTTTATCAAAGAGGTGATGTCAAAAACCAGGCAACTTGTGAAGCTGTCAGGGGCTGGGAAATCTGGACAAAGGTGTCTAAAAATAAATCCCTGAAGCCAGGAAAAGGCTTTGGTGGCTGAGTCGTTCACCACCACACCACATGCCATGTGCCCTGTTCTGAGGTCTGGAACCCAGAAGTCTCTTCTAAGCGGGGGATCCTCTTCCAGATTAGTCCTTGAGGTTGAAGAAGGCATAGACAGGACCAGACACCATGTACCAGCCCCCACCTTGAGTGAGATGGGGGAGGACTCACCTGAGAGCGCATGCTGAGCAGGCCTACGGCACTGAGGTCTCCCATTCCCACCCTCACCACCAGCCTGCATCCTCACTTCCAGCATTTCCTCTCCATCACCCCTTGGGGCTGCTACCCTCCAGGTCACTAAAAAAATCATCTTTATCCTCCCCATTAAAGACCAAGTCAGCCTTCCCATTTCCAGGTCTGCCAGCCTGCTTCTGCAATCCTGGACTTGACCACAATGACCACAGCTGGTGACCCAGGGACTCTTGCACCTCTTTACCCAGAACCTGTCCGAGCTCCTGTTTCCTGTCCCTGTCCCAAAACTGTTCTGGAGGACAAAGTCACAAGGCTCCTTCATCCAAGTCGACCAAGCTCCCATTCTGGTTGGATCTCTTGTCGTATACTTTGATCCTAGCCACACTGGCCTCACCCTCTGCAGAATACTTGTTGCCACCAGCTGTCCAGTGCCCAGAGGATGGAGGAACAGGGCAGCTCCCAGACTAAAAGCTATCAGCAGACTGACATCCCAAAACATGCTCTGCCAAGGCCTCTCTGAATTCTAGACTCTCCATATGTCACTGTCACCAGCTGTCTCCACACCATCACCTAGATGTCTTTCAGGTGGCTCCACTGACAGCCCACAGAGATTGCTTCCTCTACTCCCTCATACTCACTCACAGAAGGTGATACCTCTACTTCCCCTTCCCCCAACAGCTAACCTACCCTAAATCCATCAATTTTACCCTAAAATATTCTAGAACTCTCTATGGTGGTCTGCATCTCTATGACCACTGGCCCAGCCCAAGCTGCTCCTATTCACAATGGAATTCATGACAGATACCCTAAGCACATCCACGCACTCTCTGGTCCATAATCCAGTCCCAGAGATGGGCCAGCCTGTCTCAAGATATGGCTCTTATCAAAAACTGCAGTAACTTCCCATCACATTAGATCAAACTTGTGCTCCTCCCCCTGCTCTGCCTAAACCATTCTTACCTGCTCTCCAAAGGTTCTTCTAGACTCCTGCCTTGAAGTTACCACCTTTGAGAGGCTGTCCCTGATCACTCTAAGTAGACCCCTGATTTTCTCACCTTGTTCTTTTCTAGCATATATCTCTTCTGTTCTTGTCTGACAGATAGTACCCATCTTTATCACCTGACCATAAACACCAACAATTTGTACCATGTCCTGCATGGCACCCAGCACACAGATACTTAATAAATATAAATTAACGAATAAACATTACTTCTAAGACCAAACTGGGGCTGTTTTCCTAGCATTCAAGCTTATAAAATGTTTACAGGAGGAAAGATGTACAGCAGGACACGGTCTTTAGGATCTCTGTAGATACAGAAACCCTTGTCAGATCTCTTGGTGACTGGTTCTCCTCTTTTTCCCAGGTAGGTTGGGCTGTTGGCATTACTTCCTTCCAGCACAGGAAGAGAAGGAGACAGGACCTGCTATGGCTGCCCCAGTCCTGGGCTTAGGGAGCAGGCTCATAAGCCCATGCAGATGCAGCACCAGGCAACACATGGGAACCTGGGCCTGCCCAGCCAATGGGAGCATCAAGGGTGTGTTCTGTAGGCCTCTAGCAGGATGAGGACAGCATGGTCCTGTCCATCCATCTGAGCATGGAGTGCAGGATGAGCTCTAGAGGCACTGCCAAAACTAGGCAGGCACCAGCTCCACTGAGCTACATTCCCAGTCAAGACACTGACAAAACCAAAGCCAACAGACCAGGCCAGGTTTCTGAACAAGTTCCTGGGAGATACTCTGGCTCCCACAAGGTCTTGGGCATCTCAAACAGATGCCAACAGCCTCTGCCCATCTTCCTAGCTCTCCAGGCATGTGCTACATGAGGGTCCCAAAGCGCTACCCGCTACCAAATTACCTCTTTTTCCCATTCTGGGGAGTCACCCCTGGTTCCCCACCAAGGGACATGGCTGACCCCCCTGAAATACATACTAGACCCATGCCGCACCTTGATGTAGGTGTCCAAGGCACGATGGACCCGGTGGGCAGCCAGCCAGATGGACAGGGCAGTGGTGTAAGGGAAGGCGGCTGTTACCACATGGCTGGGTGCTGGGAAGGAAAATATCTTGAAGCCAAATTTCTGGTAGAGACAGATCAGTTCAGGGGAAGGCAACTCTTCACCTTCACTTAAGATGCTGCCCACTGCACAGCGGCACTTCTCAGGGGGCACCTGTGGAGGCAGAGCAGGGTTCAGAGCTGGGTTGAGGAAGGTTCTCATACCTTCTGCTGTCTATGCTAGCTCAGGCCTGGGAGAACCACCTGCTCCACAGACCACAAAGCCCCAGCTCCCAAACAGAGTTATTTTTTTGCCAAAACCCATTCATTGCCCCTGCCTATACATTCTGATGGGGGCCTCCTATCTACCCCTTCATCTATTCTTTCAACATACCATGCTCTATGCTGGAGACCCACGTGTCACGGTGAAGGATCAGACTTGGTTTCTGTCCTCCAGGAACCAGGAGAGGGAAGGATGGAGAGGACTTCTGCACCATCACCCTCCATACAGACCATCAACAGCACCACTGAGGGGCCCTCCCTCCTCCTGAGGGCCTCCAGAAAGACTGAAGGCTGGCTTAACCCAGAGTCTGCATCAGTTCATTGTCCTCTTAGCTTCTGGAGAAACAAGATTCACTAGCAGAGAAATTATGGCAGCAGCTAAGGGAGCAGAACTGAGGAATGTGGACAAGAAAACAGCCCACAGCTCTCTTCTTTCCTGGTCACATCCCAGGAAATCTCCATCTGTGTGTGTGTGGCAGGTGTATACACAGAGTAAAAGCCAGGGTGGGGACATGGAATCTGGCTGAGAGGCTGTAGAAACCACTGTCAGAATGTTAGACTTCTTCTCCAACCCAGGCCCCATCCTGGGATGTGCCCTACTTCCCAAGTCTCTTCCTGGCTAAACCCCCAGACCACTGGTGCCCTTCACGTCTTGTGTCCCCCACTGCCAGCACTTCTAATCTGCTTCTCTCGCCCTCTTCATCCTCCTTCTTACCCCTGGTGATGAAGCTCTTCTGTGAGCCTCCAACTCTATCCAGGACTGACCAAAGGCCTAAATGGCCAGATTTTCCTTGGTGTCAAGAGGGTCCACTTTGTCTCACCTCCAGCTATTTCCCTTGTCCATTTTCTTGCCATTTAAGATATCAGCCCTTGTGTTGGGTTCCCGGGGTAGGTGTCCCTGAATCTAGGACACTTGGATCTTACGGTCTCAATTCTGGATTTTGCTTACCCTGAGGGCTCTCTTCTCCCTCTATGCAGGACCTTCTGACTCTTAAATTTAAACAAGCCACTCCCTCTGTCACCATTTAGTTCCCTCCCTGGTTCACCTTCCCAGCACTGTTAAGTCATTATCACCTGACTGCTTCTGCCCTCCCAGTCTAACCCTTTCCAAGCGCTGTCACCAATTCCTTTGGACAGTCTGTCTTCATTTGCCTCCTTTACTCTTGCCAACCCAGCACTGCCTTAGAATCACACTGCTGGGATTTATGCACCTACCTTACACTCACCTTGGAGCAGACCCTAGAGGAAGGGTCACCCTCTGCAGCTTTGGTCCTCTTGCTGCCCCTAGAATTTAATGACATCAAGCCTGGCTCAGAGCTTTAGCATCAGGTAGTACATATGGTGCAGTGGTTATAACCACAGCTGGAGAGGGGCCAGCAAAGATGCCTATCTTGAGTCATGTGATACTCACCAAGTACCTGGGCTTCTTAGAGCCACAGTTTCCTTGACAGCTACTTACAGCACTGTCACATTAAGGACTATTTCACAAAGGCTTATCTTGGGCCACACACTCACCAACTGCTCTATGACTATTATTGGTTATTAGTAGCTAAGATACAGTCCTTAACTGTCCTTTGTCCTAGAATGCCCATCCACATTAATTTGGAATATGCAGTTCCTCCCCACCCATCCTTCAGATTCAGTTCCCTCTTAGGGAGCCTTGGTAACTCTCTTCTCCCCACAACCTCCTCTGCCATATCAGATCTATCCTACTAGCAGCACAATCACTTTACCCAGAGGCCCAGGAAACTGCTGCAGTACCACCTCTTGTCTCTAGATGGTAGACTTGCCCCATTCATGCCTCAAGATTTGAGGCAGGTTTCCAGAGGCAACCCCTGACCAGCCAAAGGTTGGGGCCTGCCACAAAGCCTATCTCCACATCACTGACCCTAGCAACCTGTGCTAACAAAAGAAAACTTCCAATGTAGGAGAGAGACAGCAAAGGGGTTGGGGTTCCAAGATTTTTCATGGTATCACTTCAGCAGCCCTCATGAAACTTCCAGCTCAATACTTTCTATGCCAGAGATTTAGCTCAGTGATTCTACCACCTGCCTCAATACTTTCTTCTGTCCACAAAAGGTATTAGAATACCATGATCACCCTGCTGGGAACCTCTCAGTGGCTCCCAATCCACCTCTAAGATGAAACTAGACTCTGGAGTCCAGCATACAAGATGGTCTATTAGCATGACCCACACAACACTGCCTGGCTTTGTCCAGAAACTCACCTTACATCTTTACATCCCCAGCCTCAGCAGGGGCCAGAGCTCAGATGGAGAGGCATGCATTGAGTGTCTATGTGGCAAAGGGAGGAACAGATCCAGGCTTTGGCCCATCCCTCCTTGCCAGCCTCCTCCCCTTCCACACCACCGCACACACCCACAGGGAATTATTTGCAGCCAAATATGCTGCACACTCCCAGGCTTCCTGCCTTTGGGTAGGCTACTTCCTTTGCCTGAAATGTCCTCTTCACCCTATTCCATAGTCCTAAAGGCTGGGAAACGCCTATCCATCCTATAAGACTCAGCTCATCCCATCCCCTCAAAGCCTTTTGATGTTCCACACCAAATTGTCCCTCCTCCCCTATTCCCAACACCCACTAAGGGAGCAAGTCTTGTTCTGTATGGTAATGAGGCCTCCCCATCTCTTCCTACCACCCCAGGCTTCACGACAGAAAGGTCAAGAATCCTATGTACACAGAATTCTTAGGGAACCCTCAGTGACAACTTGACCTCCTCCGCTCCCATCCGGAGAAAGAGATGAGCTCCTGCCACATGGGAAAGAGGCAGCTAGTAAAGAAACAGGGCTCCTGAGATCCTGGAGGTGTGTGGGGCATAAAGATTCCCTTTCCAATTTGAGCAACCCCTCAATTCCATAAGGAGGACATTTTTAACCACTTACCCTACCCTGACTAGTAGCTAGGGAGCAGCCTAAGAAGAGCCTCAGCTGCCACCATGACAAGCTAGGGCTGGGGAACAGCTGAACCAGGTACCAGCTAGGCAATAAGACAAGCCCTAAGACAACCCAATGAGTGGTGAGACTGGTCCAGTAGCAGGGAAAGGCTTCCCTGGCATTCCAGGAAAGCCCAAGTCTACTTCAAGGAAAAATGGCCTACTAAAGTTGTCAAGGGCCCAAAAGGTGTAGGTGTCCTGATGGCAAGATACACTATACACCTTGGTTCAATGCGACATTTTTATTTGTGCCTAATCTTGGGATAAATGCCAAGGCTTTCCCCACCTTCCTGCTTCTTTTATTTTCTATCAGCAATTATCTGGATACCTGTGCATAGCACAAGAGCTACACGAGAACTGTACCAGCTAGAAACCACACCGCCACCACTTTGGATAAAGGAAAGCTAACTCAGAATCTGCCCTCAAAGCACGAGTACCAGGAAAGAGATAGGAACATGCCAGAGTCCAGGGCATCTCCTTTGGGCTGTACAGCCCCTTGAGTGCCAGCACTGTAACAAGAACGCAAGAGGGCAGTTGGCTTGGAACCTGAAGATTCCCAGTATGGGCCAGTCCTAAGACTGGTTCCACTCTCCCTTCCTGAAAGGCCTAACAGGATTGTGACAGTACTGTGCTGTATGGCCACAATGAAGAGAGCCATCTGAGGACCCTGCCTGGCCAAGACCTCACTGACATTAGAACAGGACAAAATTTCTGCCTCCAAGGATCAAGGTAAGAGAAATGGTATCCATCAGATTCATTACAAACAGCTACCTCCAAGCCCACAACCAACATGGAGAGCTGTACCATCTGCCAGTCCTAGGGTCAGAGGCTGCCTCAATCCCTTCCATGCCAGCCCACCCAACCTGGAGCTATGCAAAGTAAGGGGAGGAATAAAGGTAATGTCATTTGCTTGTACTCAACAGGGGAACAGAGCAGTAGCATTTTCCCTTATAGAGCCTAGACAGTGGGTCTCATTTATCATCCTAGATGCTGCAGGTCAACACCCCAAGCCTCATGAGCAGCTAGTGCCCACTGGCCAGGACAAGGGTTGATGCAGATAGCCAGAGGTCAGGACCCATACTTCAGGCTTGGAGGGAAGGGAGGAAGCAGCAGAAGGCCAGCCTCAGGAGAGATTGGGTATGCAGCATTCTGAGAATTTCTACCTAGAATTCTTTCAGAAAACTTCTTCCACCTTCCTGAAGCATACTCCTAACAGCTAATATCTGACAAGGCCTCCCCACCACCATAGTTGCTGCCTTCTACTCACGTGCTCATCAAATCCAAATAGCACTGTGTGGCAGGTGTTACTATCAACCTTGTTCCTGAGGCCCAGGAAACCAAGCCACTCAGCAATGATCACATAGCAAGACAGTGCTGGAGACAGGATTCAAACCCAAGCAGACCCACTCTAGAGCTGCACCATACAACCCGTGACCACTTGGGAGTCTGAGAGTTAGGCCCTGGCTAGAAACAGGCTACACAATGGCCCTTCCCTACACTGTACCTGCTGACATAGCCCAGCAACCTGTGGCAGGAAGACAGGATTCTGAAAGTACAGAGGCCCAGTAGTAAAGAATCTCAGAGGCAAAGCTAGATGTCCCACATGCTAAACAGATATTAGGGGCCAAGGGTTGGGTCTTATCCTCCCCATTTAGTCCCCACAAAAACTAAAACCCTGGGCTGGGGTATGATTCATGCTAGGTAGGCACAAGACCCTGGATTTAATCCCAAGCACCAAAAACAAAGGAAAAAAGGAAAAAAAAAAAATCCCTGATGTAAGCGATTCTTTCATTCCCATTCAACAAATGAAACAAGCAGACCAGTGACTCACCCAGAGTCACATCCTGGTAAGCAGTGACACCTCAATTCAAACCCAGAAGGGTAAATCCAAAGCCCTTTCCAATCACTTCTCCTCACCTCCTTTCCAAGGGCAACTCCAGTGGTCAGAGAAGTGCTTGCCTTTCGCACCTGTCCCACAGATAACCTGCTGTACAGCAAAAGCCTGGGCATTATCAGAGTTATTGAGGTAAGGGGCAGTCTATGCCCAGCCCATAAGTTCATTACCCCTTCCCTGACTCTATATGACTTAAATGCCTCTGGGACAGTGTGTGGAGGATACCCACATGCACTGAGGATGGGTAACACAGGCCTGACTCAGTCTCAGGTCCTGCAGACGTATTGTTTCAAGGCGTTGATTCTCATGGTGTAAAAGAAAGGGGTTTCCATGGCAGTCTAGCTTTCTAAAGGTAGAACCCAATGTGCCTGCAATTCCTCCACACCATCCGTGGCTAGGACAAGCACTTCCTGCTATGTGGTAGTTAAGAGCAAATTCAGGACAGTCTTGGTCAAATAAATCCAACTGGCTGCCCCACCTTCTGGCTTCAGCAGGGATTCCACAGAACAGGTAGGCAGGTTGCTTAAGCCATATACACAGTATCTAAACTAGTAGAAGCAGAGGGTGGACTGAGAGGTGAAGCACCAGGCTACCAACAGACAGGACAGATTCACCGGCATTGAGACAGCAGCCCAGTCACCAGCTCCTGCCTACAGGCCAGAGCTGGCCAGGATCAAGTAAGGCACACAAGGTTCTCCGAGCTTTCCTTCACCTCCAACACTAAGGGCTCCCCTCTAACACTGAAGGTTCCAGGACCAGGCCCAGAAGAAGAGGCTGTGGTCCACTTCCAAACCTAAGCACCCATCTCAGAAGGGGAGCTAAGCGCAGAGTAGTTTTTCCAGCCAGGATCCATCCCCCAAGCTATGTGAGGGCAATGTGGACCAGTAATACATGAGGGTCTGTGACAAATATCCACCTTCACCGATTCTAGTGTCTGGAACTCAGCCTTCTCCCTCAAGTACCTTGAATGCTGTGCCCTGGACTGGAGAGGACACACTGAGTCACTGCCAGGGTTCAGGTCCCAACACAAGCTCCCTTCTTCCTACACCCTTCTTCCCTTACTCTCAGTCATGTCAATGCCTGTAGACCTAGGGAGTAGAAATCTTTCCTCCTGCTTCATAGAGACCACCTGCCCAGACCTCACAGCCTCCTCTCTTATAGGAGGTCTCCAGAACGTGGGGCTCAAGCAGCATCTGCTATGAAGGAGTCCCCAGCAAATGCCACTGTCCAGCCTCAGTGGTACCCCTTCTTATGCTACTTCTGAGATCCACAAGAGAGTAGGCAGGCTCCACAAGGCTTTTCTCAGGAAGTAGCCTCCGCTGGCCTGAGCCAAGACATGGCTAGGAAGTTGTCAATCCACACCTCAAAGTCAGGTGGCACCTCTAACCTGGTTATTCACCGATCCACTCAGTGCTGAAAACAGCCTCACTTCCTCCTTATATTCCCAGGAGGAATTCTGACCCTGTGTTATGCTGGGCTACAGAGGGAGAAGTGAAGGTGGGACACTCAATAGGACAGCCTACACCTCCTCTTTCTCTGAGAACTGGATACACAGGTCCCCACAATGGACACAGCTAGCAGAGGCAGCTTGGGGAGCAGCAAGCCTAGGTTCTCAGCCTCCTGGTGGGAATGAATTCCACAAGGACAAAGTCACCCTACCAAGACCTCCTAAGGGCTGGGTCCCCTGGTCCCCACACTGCCCTGGTACTCAGCACATAGACTGGCATGGATCTGGTGCTCAAGTATCTGTTGAATGAAAACAAGAATGTATGAGATCAGTACATCACTCCTGTAGATAGCGTCTCATCCTCCCACCCACCTCACTCCTACCCCTCCTTATGTAGTATCAGAGTGTAGACCAGGAGGTCTCAGGTTCTTCTTGACCAGACAGTCTATAATTGTCACGAATGCCTGAAACCTAAGGTCCCTGGTTCCCATTTGCAAACTACCAAGAAAATGCACTGCCTAGCTCCCAGAGTAGATGGGGACTCAAGTGTCTCTGAGTCATCCCAGTGCGAGCAGTGAGCCAGCTCTGAATGTGGTATCTTTTGGAATGACAGAACTGTGAAAGGCAGGATCACACTGGTCCCTTAAGTTGACTATTCATCTCTGTGCTAGCCAAATGTCCACAGGGTCTAGCACAGTGCACAGCCTAACTCTTTAGCACATGCTAATACGTGTTTTTTTTCCACATTTTCTTAGCTGTTGTTCAACATTTTGAGGACCAGATGCTGGAATGAATGCCTCACCTTGTCACTGAATTGAACCCTTAAAGGCTTAACTACGAAGCACACATTTCACCACTACTGTAATGATGAGGAACAGAGGCTCAGAAAGGTTATGTGGCACTGATCACAGAGTACCTGCTGCAATGTACTTTCTTTCCCATCCTGGAATTAGCACCTCCAACCCAAGAAGCTTCCAGAGCACAACGAAATGCTGAGGAGAAAAGAGGCAAACACAGGGGCCTCGCAGAGGGCAGAAGAGAGGCAAGGATATCCACAATAGATCCTGACAGACTAAAAGCCAGGCATCTTGTTTAGGAGCTTCCCACAGCCCAGCAACTGTCTCATCCCATTTGGCCCCTAGTTCTCCTGACATTAGTCAGTGCCATATCCTAGCATATTACTACAAAACCTCCTGTGTTTTTCCTTAACCAGCCCATGTCACCTCTCACTTGGGCCCAGCCCAATCTCTTCCATAGCCTCTCTACCTCATCTCCTTCCCTCCTCTTGCCCTCCAGGTAGCCTCCTAAAATGGTGCCATGCCCTTCCTCCCAACCTACTGTACCTCCCACCACCTGGCCCAGAGAACCTTTCTACCTCTTTCTCCACTCACCACGTATCTACTGGCTATACTTCCTCATTATCCCTTCTCTTCAGGCCTTTGCTCTTAGTTTCTTTAGCCAAGTGGCCCTTTGTGAAAGTTCCAAATTCTGATTGTTAAGAAAGCCCCCCTGAAATCCATTTCTTCTTCAAGCCTCTACAGCAAACTTAAGGGCCCCTCCCTAAACCCGCAGCTCAAACTTCCGTAGGCAGAGTTCAGTGCCTTGTTAGAAAATTACTTGTGTGAGGCTAACTTTCCAACCACACAGTTTCCTGAGGACAGGACCAGGTCTGATTCATCTCCAGAGTTCAGCTAAAAGCAGGACCTGGCACACAGAAAGAATCAGCACACTCCTGTCTTAACTGAATACACTCAGTGAGGCCTGGTCAGCAGACAGCAGGTTCATTTGTGCTCTCCAGACAAGGAAATGGAGACGGGGGGTCCAAATCCATGGTCTGACAGGTTTGGCAACAGAAGCTGAAGAGTCCTTGGCAGGCTGTCAGCCCATCCAGCTGTGGGCAGCACCACACCATAGCACAGCAAGGGACTACATTGGCAAGCCCTGACTCACTACAACTGTAGGACAGCCAGACACCCACAGGGTGCCCATGATGCTGGATTCCTCTCTGACTCCAGCATCCTAGACATTATGAAAACTTCATCTAGTTCCACTTGGCCCTCTCCCAAAAAGGCAGCTTGAAGTCTAAAGAAACGTCATATCATTGGGTCAGGAGGCATCAGAATCTGGAGAAATGGAGTTCCAATCCCTATGCTAAGAGGCTGCAAGGGCTTATAGTCACAGTGGGAAAGCACAGAAACAAAATATAACTCCAAAGAACAGGCAGAAACCATGGAGATGAAAGAGGGAAGAACAGCAAGAGGGAGCAAAGGGACCAAAGTCCAGGCAGAAGCTAGGGTCTCACAGTGATATAGTTCACTGCTCTACAAATTGCGAAAGTAGCCATGAGCAAGGAGAATCAGACCTAGGCAAGTAACAGATGCCTGAAGCAGGAATCTAAGCTAAATATGGAAGGTGGTTCAAGCTCAGAGAGAAGGTAATCTACAAAGCCAGCTCAAAGATTCCCACCCATTCCCCAGAATTCCACCCCCAATCCCTACCCACCCCCCATCCTAGGCCCAGGTCCATCCATGGGGCAGAACTCCATGAAGGTTCCTTACCGTGTGAGGGTTGTCATAATAGACAGCAATGGAGCGGAGCTTGGGGGAGATGCTGCAGCTCTCAGTGAAAAGCCGCCCAGTGTCGCCATAGGGCCCCACATGGAACTTGTAGGCCACAGTGATGTTGTGGATGAGGGATGAACCAGCACTCACTGCCACCCCAGTCAACAGGCCTGAGTACCCGGCAAAGGCCAGCAGGGTCAGCAACAGCAGTAGAGTCAGGCCCCCAACAAGGCCCAGTAGCAGCAGGTCCGACATGGCGCTGGGCCCCCCACACCACACCCCAAGGCAGCTGCAAAGGAGAAAGAAGGGAGAGGAGGCTGGTAGCCTGCTCTGACCATGCTTACCTGCCTGCCGGCAGGTTCTAACCAACCTTGCCCTGCCTTAGGTGCTTTGACCCAGGAGTGGGAGGGCCAGAAGTGTTTACACATAGAGTGACCTAGAAGGGAGCCACAAAGGATGACTGAAGCCACAAGCCTCTTTATTTCTTAATCACAGTCATTGAAGCTCTTGGAGCAGCTCAGCCTGGCAGCTGGCATCCCTGGTCACACCTGGGGAAACTGAGTCATGGACAGAAGACTGAGTCATCCAAGAACAAACTTCTGGTCCTGAGCAGTCTCCTCCAAGATGGTCCAGATACTACTAGTCTATCTTTCTCATTGCCTCTTCCTTCCCACAGCTGAGCCACTGTCCAGCACAGCCTCCCTAAGCCTCACAACACTACTGCTAGAAAGAGGACAGACAAGTGTCAGGGTCCAAATACATAAAACAAAAAGGAAAACCACAAGGAAGAAAATGTGCTACAGGAAAAGCATTTCACAGGAAACTCTCCTTTGCTAATAAGCACATCTGGCCTATAGGGACCTTGCTATCCACAAGCTCACCCATCCAGAACCAGCCTGAACAGCCAAACAAAACCCAGCCTGTGCTTCTCAGACATGAAGCAACAATGCTAAGAAGCTTCACTACACTTTCCCAGCCCCCAGATTAGAAACAGAAAGAAGAAAGAGGAAAAGCCGCTAAAAGTGGAAACAAAAGAGGAAGTAAGAAGTAAGTTACTCATAAAAGGCTGAGAAGCTATACAGGACAGGTCCAGAATCAATACAGAGGCCAGTATGTATGTGAGCCTTTCAAGGCGCCCATGCAGTTCTGAGCCAGAGGCCTAACCCTCTTTAAAGAGGGCTTCATCTGAGCAGCCCAGGAAGAAGACAAGATTCACAGCACACAGAATAGAATACTGTTTACACAGAAAAGGAAACATGGGCCTGCCTAGGGAACACTTCTACTTCAGTCACTTAAAAAATTAGTGTTTACAATTTAAAAGGTTTGGAACTGAAAAGGCAATGCTCTAGCCCTATGGAAAACTTAGCTCTATGGAATTATTTGTTCCCGATGAAAATATTATGCTGAAAAATTGTCTTTGGAGTCAATAAGCAGTGTCTGTCTCGCAAAGGCCTGGTACATTTCTAAACTTCTGGTGTCTGACACTGAAGCACCTCCCACCAGTCTTCTCTCCAGTCTGTAGTCCTGCTCAGCAGTTTCATTATCTTCCTTTCATGCACTCCCTGTCCTACTCATTGTGTCTTCACTTAGTTTCATCCCTGTTTTCTTGATGATAATGACAATATTCTGCTGAAACACACTACTACATTCATCCATAAAACAATCCAACAAAGGAAGTACAGATCAGGAAACAAGTACTGTAGGTGGAAGTTACAACACTTATTCAAGGATACATAGGAATTAAAAGGAGCCACCTGAACCAAAATGCAGGCAATGAAAACCCAGGAGGTCTGGCTCCAGCATACTATTTCCATATTCTCTGCTCCCTAGCTTCCAAACGTTTAATCCATGTTGGACATCTCTGAACCCAAAACTAGGAAGCCCTCAGCATCTAGGCCACCACTTCCCCTAGGAGTGACATGCCCTCACTCTGACCTATCCTCTCAGTAATCCCAGTACTCTGGGAGGCTGAGGCAGGAGGATCAAAAGTTCCAGCCCAGTTTGGGCAATTTAGCAAAACCTCAATACAAAAAATAAAAACAGGACAGGGGATATAGCTCAGGGTAAAGGCCCAGGGGTCAATACCCAAAAAAGGAGGAGGACTTAAATCTCCATCTTTCTCTTTCTCCAAACTCCCAAAGTGCTCATAAAGAGGCGTTGGGGAATGTTCCTGTGGGTCCCAGAGGCTTGGTCAGCACGTAAGGGAGAAAGGGCAATGCAAAATTTCCCTCAAAAGCAAAGAGAAAGAGAAGGTAAAGGTGTATACGTGTGTGTGTGTGTGTGTGTGTGTGTGTGTGTGTGCGCGCGCGCGCGCAAGGGGGAGGGGTGGTGGAGGTGGTGGTAGGGGCTCTCACCTTCTCGGGCAGGCTTTTAACAACTCATGGCATCCAGTGCAGCAAGGGCCAAGTGCTCCAGTGCTGCGGGCAGAAAGGAACAGTTACCCCAACCCAGGAAATAACCAGTCAGCAGGGCACCATGCCCTGACTAACCCCTTCGCAGGGAAAGCCCACTGGGGCCTCTACAACCACCTCAGACACCTTGGGAAAATCAGAGGTCAGACCTAGCCTCTAAGTGCTGAGGCGCCTCACTAGGGCCCGGCTCAGGGCCCAGTCTTGGGGAGTTCCAGTCAACACAAGGCGCTGAAATAGCTCCTGCTTTTGACCTTGAGCAGGGTGCCCTCTAGGGCCTCAGTTTCCCTTCGAGTCAGAAGCATTGGGCAGGCATCTCCACCCGGAGTGGGCGAGTGTCAAATAGGCGGCAGGACGCAGCTTCCCGAGCTAGCTCACGTGCCCTCAGCCCAGGGCCAGGCCCCTAAAAGATTCTCATACCCGCAAAACTTGGGGGAAGTGCGGAGGGCAGGCCGCAGCTCCGTGCGGAAGACGGGCGCTGCCTCCCAGCTCTTGGCTCCCGGCTTCGGATCGCTGGAGCTTCGCTCAGTTGCTCGGCCCCTTCTCTTCTACCACCGCCTCACAGAGGTTACGCACCTCTGCAACTTAAGGGACGCCAAAGTTTGCTGCTGGACGGCGCGGGCGGCCTAGGCAACAGGGTGGAGTTAAAGGTGACTCCGCGCCCTTCCTCAGCTGCACGGCCTCGGCGCACGGCGGCCCAAGGTGGCCTTGGGCCTCGGACCGGCCGGGAAAAGGTGTGGGCGGGACAAGAACCACAGAGCAGTCCAGGCCAAGAGGCCACAGAATGAACGCGAGGAGCCCTGAGGTGCAGCTTTCGCGGACAGGGGTCCCAGGCCTACGCCCAGACGGCGGGGACCGCCCTGCTCCGCCCGGCCCTCACCTCAGCAGCAACCTACCGGCGCCGGCCAGAGCAAGCGGCTCCGGGTTGAGTAGCTGAGCCTGCGCGTGTCAGTCGCTTACGCTTGCTCCGCCCCCTCTCGCGGCGGGATGTGGCCGTGGCCGTGGGCGCGTGCGCTGGGGACACTGGGGGCGGAGGCCTGCCCCGCCCCGTCTCCACAGCAACGTGTGCTCAACACCAGCCCAACCAGGCTGGGGT